ATTGGGTGGATCTTATACCCTGTATTTGTATTTACCACATCTGATATCGTACGCTTGCATGTGCAGTGATGATTCACACCGTTCAGTGCACCACGTAGTTCCCACGAATACCCCCTGTTGTTGCATTGCATACTCGTATGACCCCATGACCACTACTGTCATCACGAAGGGGCAAGTAAATGGTTCGTCCATGCAAATTTCGAGAATATAATAGTCCTACTGATTGAACCCTATCCTAACGTATCGTCATGCTGGAGAATGTAGTCGCTTGAACTTATTGATGTGATGGGTAAGTATGGATGTCAAAAACAATGCATCGATATGTTGGCTATGAAAAAAAATGTAAAATGATCTGTCTGGATCTAAAAATTTGGAGATTTCAATATTTTGCCAAATCTCGCGTTGTTCGCCAAAAATTAAAAGAGAGGTTCAAGGGATTTTTTTCTGAAAGTTGTCAATCACTGAGAATCGTAGATTTTCTTCTGGCGTCCGTCGCAAACAAGGAACTCGCAATGTTAATACTGTAAAATATGAACGTGGCCGATATTGGCTTTGTACAAATTTTCGGTGCGTGGCTTGGATAGGCGACTATGCTACGAATAAATGTTTGTATATATAGATAGTTACCCCAAATTTAGACTTTTTTGCTGATTCGCCAAATCTATCGATCGTTTCTTGTAATTTACTGACTTTTGTATCCAAAAATCCTCCACTGTCACACTATTTTAAGCCATACACTAATTCCATGTAGAATTGGTCAAAGAGTGGATTTTGATTGGCTACTTGATTTGAGATCTGTGTATTGATTGGTTAATCGATCGATTGAGAGCACATCACTCCAATGTCGAACCGACTTGACAATATACTATTATTAATAAGGCGCCCCGAAAAATGGCTTAAAATGGCAGTTTTTCGAAGAAAACTTGCCCAAATCGAAATATTCCATTTTTCGAGACATTTTGGTGCGTCTGGATGTCACGAAGGTTCAAAACTTTACGCCATAATTTTCTTGAGAATCGGGTGTTTTATGGCATAAAAAATGGACCGATTTGGTCCAACTTTTTATGGAGGTTTGCGTTCACGTTGAAGTCTTGCAACTTCAATCGGAAATCGAATAGTTTTTCCATAATTCAACTGGCATCCAGAAAACTTCGTAGATACTTTTGTTCTCCTTTTTTTCATGGAATCTGAGACTTTGGGAAATTTTTGCAGACGTGCCAAACCGGTTTATGGCATAATCTTATGAGGTGGCATCCAGACCAGCCCTAACTGTAAATGTTTTACGTAGTACCTGACAAGATGAGGTAGAATGTTGAAATCCATGTTCAATCGATTGGTACGAGGTGCTGGCTGTACTTAAGCAGAAAAGAGTCCTTATGTGAAGCCACAATGGACCTACCTAGCCTCTCCATGACATGGCCGTCGATTCTTACGATCTACATATCCTCTACCTAGTTACAATATGCTGATAGTACGCGATGGATCATTTGGGACCCCCCACAAGCACAGCGTCCTGCTGCCTCTGCTCCTTGCTTTCCATCACCACGACCACGTCATCGTCAAATATATTGGCGCGCCGTCGGCCGTCTCGTCGGCGTTGCTGCTTTTTCTGGCGCACCATGTACGCGATGCCCATCAACACGAGCGCGCATCCAACGCCGGTGGCTAGGCCCACGATGAGATTCATAGAGATGGGGCTAACGGAGGTCGAAGTAGCCGCGGGATTGTCGACAGAGGCGACGGCATTCGAAGTCGAGGTGGGATTGAACGATGCTTGGGTTGGGTTGTCCCAG